TTAGATATAGATTTTGAATTTTTTTTCATTGAAATTTATATTCAATAGCGTAATACATATAAACTTTTTTGTGATTACAAATATTTGTAGAATCTATTGATGGAGAGGAAGTTCAAGATGTAGGAGAATGTCAAGACCAGAAAAATCCAAAAGAGACAAGAGTAACAGAAAAAATTTGTAAATGTGGATTGCAATCTCAGGAGGATTTAGAAAGTCTATTGGGAACAAGTGTCAGTGAGATTGTATGCAAATGCTTAGAAGGAACATATGATCTGTCTACACCTCTGTCATATAAAGAAAAATTTAGAGTTCAAACTTGTGCCAATCAAGGTTAGATAAAATTTTCATGATATATTGAATGTTAGTTTTAGTGAATTATTAGAATGGGTATTAATTGCATGGCATTACAGAATCTTTTGAAGCTGTAAGGGAAGAAACTGGAGTGGAGTATCAAGAGAAAAGTGGAGTACAATCTCAAGACCTAGAAAATACTGAAAGAACAAGCATAAGTGAGATTGCTTCCAAATTCATAGATGGAACATGTGATCTTCCTACACCTCCCTCTCTTACCGATAATATTGGAACCCAAGAAAATGCTAGTGAAGATAATGATGTAATTGGGATGATCTTGACTATTGCAAATGGTTAGACGGTATTTTTTTTAATTTTATACATGTTTGTTTTAATCAAAGATTAGTGACAAGTACTAATTGTGTTAGCTGTTGTAAATATTTTGCAGAATCTTGTGAACTTGCAACTGAAGAACATGGAGAACAATTACAAGATAAAGAAAATGTGCAGCTGGAAGATAAAAAAAATGATGCAAGCAATATTTTAGCTGAATTGTCTCTTGAAAAAACACAATAAGGCAGTGTGAACAAGACAGATAATGATTGTATCCTAAATATTTTATTCATAATTGAAATTTTGTCTCTTCATTTGACGACTTGCAGCAAACTAATATATTTACATAGTGTTGCCTGAAGAGGAAAACATTGATGAAGATCCTAACCAATATACGAGGAAAAGAAAGAGAGATAGTATTGGTTATGATGGTCCGTCATTTTCTATTCTTACTCCTACTCCTTCAAGTACACATATGAGCATTGATGGGGGTTTACCTATGGAGGTTGAAGGAAATGTTGAAGAAGAGCTTGGTCGAGGTAAAAGGAACAAGAAGCTTAGTTGGCAGTTGAAATCTCCTTTTGATCAGGAAAGAAAAATGGCAGACAATCAAAATACTCCCAAGATTTTAGGCTGGATAAAATCAACATATACTCGTAGGTGTATTTTTCATTATGCCACAGATGATACAAAATTATTGAAGAAATTCATTGTATGGTTGGTCAAGGAGAAAAGGAGAGGTCGAAAAAAAGAGTAAGACCCTTAATGTATTTCAGTATTGATATTGAAATTGCTAAAGTTAAGTGTCCTTAACTTCTGTGATTGTAAGTCTAAGTTTTGGACCAAGTGTCCTTAACTTTTGAATTTGAAAATCAAAGTTAAGGAGCTACTGTCCTTAACTTTTCAACTTGGAAATCAAAGTTCAGGACTAAGTGTCCTGAACTTTTGAACTTGTAAGTCAAAGTTTAGGACCATGTGTCCTTAACTTTCTAACATGTAATTCAAAGTTAAGGACTGCATGTCCTTAACTTTTGAACCTGCAAGTCAAACTTAAGGATTGTTGTCCTTAACTTTTGAACTTGATACTCAAAGTTAAGGACATACAGCCCTTAAGTTTTGAACTTTGAACTCAAAGTTAAGGACAAAGTGTCCTGAACATTTAAACTTGTAAGTTTAAGTTAAGGACCATGTGTCCTTAACTTTTCAACTTGAAACTCAAAATTCAGGACCATGTGTCCTTAACTTTCTAACATGTAATTCAAAGTTAAGGACTACATGTCCTTAACTTTTGAACCTGCAAGTCAAACTTAAGGACTGTTGTCCTTAACTTTTGAACTTGATACTCAAAGTTAAGGACAAATAGTCCTTAAGTTTTGAACTTTGAACTCAAAGTTAAGGACAAAGTGTCCTGAACATTTAAACTTGTAAGTTTAAGTTAAGGACCATTTGTCCTTAACTTTTGAACTTAAAACTCAAACTTCAGGACCATGTGTCCTTAACTTTCTAACATGTAATTCAAAGTTAAGGACTGCCCATCCTTAACTTTTGAACCTGCAAGGCTAAGTTCAGGATTAACTTCTAACTTTGATATTTTCAAAATTTTCAGGGGACAAACTGATATATATGCTGATGATAATGGTGTGAGAAAGAATCCATACAAATTGTATCATCAAAAAATCAGTAGCAAAATGTTCTTCCTTGAGATTTCAAATACTAGCTTTGTATTTTATGATAAGGTTAGATAATTTGCAAGGCATTTATTTTCTTTATTCTTAATTTATCATTTTTAATTATTTTATGACTGATGGATTTGTTTTATTTTTTGCCTTTCTATGAAACATATTGACATTGCCCTATATTATCTGAGAAAGAAGGAATACTACCACCCTCACGATCATTATTTTCGTTACACAACTACTGATATTCTTTTTGATAACTATATAGTGCTTGTGTATAAAGATTTCAGTGAAGATGCTACTGATGACTTTTGGTGTGCTGGTTAATCAGTTGTTTCTGACACCATATGTGTGAGGGAACAGTCGTAGATATGGAATTTCTTGGACAGAGGTTGACAAAATCTTTTTTCCACGTCGGCTTCCTTCAGAAGATGATAATGCTGTGACACACTTTCTTTTGGGGGTATTGGACTTGAATCAGAAAACGATTGATGTATACGATTCCATATATAGTGAGCCATATGAGGCAGGAATGAATCACATATAAATGTATGCACACATGATCCCCCACTTGCTAAAGTTCTCACAGTTTGACAAACAACACAAGTCTTTTGGAAATGCCTTCAACAAATTTGATATTCAGTGGCAAAGATCACCACACCAAACTGGATCGTACGTGTTGTTATTTGTTATATTATTTATATGTACTTTATATTTTTTTTAATTCATTGCATATATTATATTTTTCTTAGGACTGATTGTGGTGCATTCCTAACCAAGTATGTGGAGTTGTTGATGATTGGAAAGGATGTGGAGAAATTCCAACCTGAAGACATAAAAGACTTTAGAAAAGAACTTGCCGCAAACCTTTGGGCACATGGTGAGTGGAAAAGAAATTCTAGTTATGATACACCACCAGAAAATGTTGGTTATGACTATGAGAGTGAAAATGAAACTTGCCATCCAAAGAAGTTGTAGTTTAGTTGTAAAGAAAGTTACTTGTGGTTGATCTTTTGTATAAAATTGTTGTAAAGAATCCATATGAATTCTGCAAGTTCAGAAAACTTCTGAAATATTCTGTAAATTCCTCAAAATGCACTTATATTTTGTTTGCGTAGCAAATATTTTTGTCACACCTATGCAAAATTACAATTTTAGAAGTAATATCAAGGCATCATGTTATTAATTTCTTTGTTTCTCTCAAGTGTTGATTTGTCCATGGAGTTTGTTAGTATTAGTTCATGAATAAGTGTAATTGAACTTCAAATTCAAAGTTAAGGACCAAGTGTCCTTAACTTTTGAACTTGAATACAAAGTTAAGGACTGCCCGTCCTGAACTTTTGAACGTGTAATTCAAACTTAAGGATTGTCTGTCCTTAACTTTTGAACCTGCATGTCAAACTTAAGGACTCCTGTCCTTAACTTTTGTAAAGTTAAGGACAAACAGTCAATAACCTTTGAACTTTGAAATTCAAACTTAAGGACTCTCTGTCCATAACTTTTTAACCAGCAAGTTAAACTTAAGGACAAACAATCCTTAACTTTTGAACTTTGAACTATAAGTTAAGGACTGCCTATCCTTAACTTTTGAACCCGTAACTCAAAGTTAAGGACGTCCTTAACTTTTGAACTTGAAACTCAAAGTCAAGGACAGACAGTCCTTAAGTTTTGAACTTTGAACTATAAGTTAAGGATTGCGTGTCCTTAACTTTTGAACCTGTAACTCAAAGTTAAGGACTGCTTGTCCTTAACTTTTGATGAAAATCAAAGTTAAGGACTGCCTGTCTTTAACTTCTAATCTTTGAACTCAAAAGAAACAAAAAGAAGGTAAGCAGAAAGAATTTTTGTAAATTCAGACATCTTCTCAAATAAGAATAATATAAATGAATCCAATTTATAGCAAAAACTTAAAAGAGTCGATAAACATAAGTGGATATATCTACTATTCTCCATGCTTTCTTGAAAATGGATGGACTGTCGGATAATATATACATGCTGTTCTATTATGACCAATTCTTCTGCAACGCCCACATTTGAAAGTTATTTTTGATGACTCCGTAGCTGGAAAGTGCCTTTTCTTCTGCCTTATACCTGGTGACACTTTGAAATCTGGAGGTTTAACAATTTGTGACTTAACACTCTCTGGTACAATCCAAGAATCAGTATGTCCTACAAGATGTATTTGTAATTCATATGTTTTCAACCAAGATTCCTTTAAGTACCAGTGTGAACAAAAGTTGGACTTCTTGATGTTTCTCTTCTCGATAGCTGCAATTGCATGTATGCATGGTAATTTATCAAATTGAAACTGAAAATAATCACATGTTCTTTTGTTTAAGTCGACCAAGAATGTTATTCCTTCTTCTTCAACACTAGAACGCCATGAATCAACAAGGAAGACCTTCAATGTTGAAAAATTATAAGTTAGTACATTATGTTAAATTATATTAAAATCATAAGCTAAACATAGAACATAATACTTACATTCAAAGTAAATGCTAAATCTATTTTTTTCTTCAATTCCTCCTCTACCCAACACGAAACATCATAAAAAGTTCGTTCTGCTTCGTTTCTTCTTTCATAAAACCAACGTTGTAGCTTCACTTGAATGAAATCCATTATTCTTAATATAGGCAGCTCCCTTGCTTCTAATAGGATAGAATTCATTGACTCAACTATGTTTGTTGTGAGCATGTCATATCATCGTCGTGGAATACAAGAACGTGCCCACCTTTCTGGTGGTTCTTCCATCAAGTAGTCATAAGTTTTCTTATCTACTTTTGCTATATCTGACATATATAGATCAAATTCTTTGCGCCTGTATACTCTTGCAGCACTTTGGAAAAGTTTTATGACCTCACTTTTCACCTTCCTTCGCTTTAGGTTCTGCTCCAAATGATAGATGCAAATCCCATGATGGCTTTCAGGATATACCTTTGCTATGTCATATGCAATAGCTTGATGCCTGTCTGATAAAAAAATTAAATTCTCACGGCTCCCAATTGCATTGCGAAGCTGACTAAAGTACCACTCATAGGAATTGTTATTTTCAGATTCTGCTATTCCAAAGTCTAGTGGAAAAATTTGGTTATTTGCATCTTTTGAAACTGAAATCATTAAAACACCACGAAATTTTGACTTAAAAAAAGTTGCATCAACAACAATCACTGGTCTACAATGATTCCAACAAGCTATTGATGATCCATATGCATAAAACATATAAAGAAACCTGAAAATATAATATAAAACAAGTTTAACAGAAGTTAAGGACAGGTAGTCCTGAACTTCAGATTACAAGGTTAAAAGTTAAGGACAGTCAGTCCTTAACTTAGAGTTTCAAGTTATAAAGTTAAGGACATGCAGTCCTTAACTTTGAGTTCAAAGTTCAAAACTTAAGGACATGCAGTCCTTAACTTTGAATTACAAGTTCAAAAGTTAAGGACAACCAGCCCTGAACTTCTGGTTACAACTCAAAAGTTAACTGGTTAAAGACGGCATGTCCTAAATTTTAGAAAACATACTAATAAACTTTTTTTTGATTTACCTGTTGTTGTCCTCTATCTTTATGTTAGTATAAGTTCTAGGGTTTTTACTTCTCATTATATACAAGTATGAAGACAATAATTCATAATTCTCTTCGGGAGTTCCTCTTATTAAAGCGGAATCAAGTTGAATAGCATGCCACGCCTTGTGATACCCAATATCTAGTCCATGCAATTTTTGCATCTCTGCCATGACAAAAGCTGGTGTAACTTCAAAACTTGGGTCTCGAAGATTGTCGATAATGTAACCACTAATCAACTTTAAAGTAGCATGCCTTTGATCAGCTTTCATAGTATTAGCAGAGCAGTCATGCTTTTTCTCAAGTTTTACTATCTTGAACAGTGTTGAATCTTTAATTCTGAAAGCACGCACACACCAACAACACCTATCATCATTGTATTTCAACGAATATCTTGTTGAGCTTGATCTAACAACCTTGAATTCAAAATGTCCTTTAATTGCTATATTTGAAAAACAGTTAATTATACTCTTCTTCTTGTCAAATACTGATCCGATATTTATTTCATCCAACGAAGCATTTTCTCTTATAATCGTAGTTGGGGATTCTTTTTGTTTCAAATTTGATCTTCGTCTAGTTAGTTGAGTAAAGGTTTTTTCAGCAACTTCTTCGATTATCGGTGCACTCTCTAAGACTTGAATACCCAAAGCTTGTTCGTTGTCAATCTATATAATGCTTTGTCCTTCTACTTGAATAGAATCAAATGTTTGAAGCACCTCTTCAGTTATTGGTTGAGCTTCAACCATATCTATTTCCATTATCCGTTGGCACTTGTCTTGATTGTCATGTTGAGTTTCTCTGTTGACATGTGTTTGAAGCACCTCTTCAGTTATTGGTTGAGCTTCAACCATATCTATTTCCATTATTTGTTGGCATTTGTTTTGATTGTCATGTTGAGTTTCTGTGTTGACATGTTCGTTGCTTGTTGATCCAAAAACTCTTTTCGAAATATCAACAATGAAACGACAGTCCTTGAAGAGTGAATGAGTTTTTAGTAACTCTATACATGTGTGAAGATCTAAATCTTTGGATACAAGCATTCCCTTGCTTGTTCCAAGGTTGATATCAAACCATATCACTGCTTCAAACTTGTGTCTATCCAATTCAATAACTTCAAAGATCTGTTTAATGAAATCTTCAAACCGAATTGCCTCAGGTACCAGAACAAGCTTTGTTTGATGATCAAGATATTTATAGTCTTCAGTCCATCTACTATTAAAAGCAACTATAATGCATATTGTTTCCATCCTGCAAGTCAAGAGAATGGGAAACTCAGGACATATTTTATAATGCAATCCTTGTATAATTAAGAACATGTACTGTAAGTTCAAGACCAAGTTAAGGACCAAGTGTCCTTAACATTTGAACTTGGAATTCAAAGTTAAGGACTGCATGTCCTTAACTTTTGAACCTGCAATTGAAACTTAAGGATTGTCTGCCCTTAACTTTTGAACTTGGAATTCAAACTTAAGGACTTCCTGTCCTTAACTTTTGAACATGCAAGTCAAACTTAAGGACACCTGTCCTAAACTTTTCAACTTGAAACTCAAACTTCAGGAACTAGTGTCCTTAATATTATGTGCTCAATTTTTATAGAATTAACCTGTAATTCAAACTTAAGGACTTCCTGTCCTTAACTTTTCAACTTGAAACCCAAAGTTAAGGACCAAGTATCCATAACTTTTTCAATTTGAAACTCAAATTTCAGGACTTAGTGTCCTTAAATTTTTCAAAACAATTTGCAAAACTATGACAGTATGTCCTTAATATACAGAAGAACAACAACAAAGTTAAGGACATTATGTCCTTAACTTTTTCAATTCAATTTGCAAAATGAGGACACTATGTCTTAATATTATATGCTCAATTTTTATAGAATTATCACAGGATGCGATGTCCTTAACTTTATCAATCCAGAAATTCAGAAAAAAAAAATCAAATTTCTAATTACTACATAAAAATCAATAGAAATCGGAAAGAGTATAACTATGTCGAAATAAAAATCAATAGAAAAACATAAAAATATAACTTACTGTAAATCTATGTCGATTTTTGGATGAGAATGTTGAATTTTTGAAGTCGGAAGAGAATCTTCTTCAATTTCGACGATCACAGTAAAGTAATTTTGCGCTGCTGCTGCTGCTGCTGATCGTTAATAAAAGCGTAGGTATAAGTTATAGCAGAAGGGTATTTTCGTCTAGTCAGGTATAAGTTTATTAAACCAGTGGCTAAAGACTAAAACATTTAAAACACTGACTTTAAAATAAAGACAGGTGTTGTTAGTGGCTATTTGTGCACATCGCCCTCTATAAGATTGACGTTGCATCTTTTGTAGACCAAGACATAATTTCTCAAGTTTTTGATATGTTCTATACTTTTAATCAATTTGTCAATTGTTTTTACTTTTATTTGAAAATGTGTTTAGCATTTAGTAGAAAGAAGCCCAAATGTGCCCCGCGCAGTCATTGAAATTGCTCAATTTTTATTCATATTTAGATTTCTGATCCATTCATATTTTGGTTAATAAATCTTGGCAAAATATCCAAAATTACCCCTCTACTTTTTAAATATCGATTACATCTTACCTCCGCTATATTATTCGGTCAAATTTATCCCTATTATTATACTATCCAGCCAAATTTATTACTACTATCAACAAACTTTTAAAAATTATCCCTCAATCCGTCAGGTGACCAAGAATCTCCTAAATCATTTTAGTTAAGTCACGTATTCTTCTTGATCTACTAATTTTAATAGTAGGCATTTACCTGCTTTCTTAATTGAAAAAAAAAAAGAAATAAGAGAAAGAAATATTAAAATAGTGCAGCGGTTAGTAAACAAAGTATAGTAAATTGAAGAAGCTAAATTAGGTAGCTTGTCTAATTTCAAAAGTATTTACAATATCCCAATTTTAGTGAATTCGTTCCACCAACGGTATGGAGACTTTACAAGTATTAGTGATATAAGTTCAAGTTCCTTGGAGATTTTGCATTGTCGAATTCAACTTTGCTTCAATCAAATGCCTACACATGATGCACTATTAAGTTAGTCGACCGAACTCTATATTAACTAGATAATTACAAAATATATTCGAATATATGACATACATGATAAGAAGCCGCATATAATACATAACAAATAGACCCACAAAATTATGCGGTGTGTATATGGTTAAAAATTAATAGAAATTTAAAACCAATTCCAAAATCATTATGAAGTGGGAGCAATGATAATTAAAAATATCCATGAATAATTGTATAATTTAGTACCTTTAGTATTCACATTAATAGTAATTTCTAAAAATAGTGGATCAAGAAGAAGAACAAGTGATTTAAATAAAAGGGATTTGGGAGATTTTGGATTACCTGACGAATATATGAGTAATTTTTAAAAGTTTATTAATAGTAGAGGTAAATTTAATTGAATAGTATAATGATAGAATAAATTTAATCGAATAGTACAACAAAAGTTAAATATAAACAATATTCGAAAGTAAATAGGTAAATTTAGACCTTTTCCCATAAATCTTCTCGTATTTTTCTGCTTTCTCGCAAAACGGTGGAGTTCACGTGCTCAATTCTTTTTTCAGAAAGTCCAAATTTGCTCCTTAATTAAACTTTAACATTACCCTCAGCTATGGAGTTCCCGCTGGGGTTCAAGAGCAAACAACGAGATCATTTCTTAACAGCAATAACAACAATAACCTCCAGCATAATCTCATAAGTGGCGAGACCATTTCTTTACAACGATAATATTAAACCAAATCTTCTTGAAATTCTTTTTGACCATTGTTTACCCTTAAAATCGGATAACAATTAAATTTATAAGAGATTTTAATGATACGTGGATTAATTTAACACAAATCGATGAATTGAATTGTATTTAAATCGAACAATGATAAAATAAATTCAAATTGAGCGATTTGAACAGTTATAGCCTTGAAAAAATGAGTCTCACTTGAACTGGATGCAATTCAAACGATATCAGATACCACAAAACAGTAGCTTACAGAAAGAAAATAATGCTATATTACTTTTGGATGCGTGTAACCATATGTTTTACAAATAATCAAACCCTCTTTATATAGTAAGGGAGTCTACTTTACGTACAGTTCTATAAAAGGTAAAAACTCCGAAGATTTGCTAATTAGCCGGTTTCTTATTGATACGTGCCGAGATTTTCTGTGATGACCCGGCCAGTCGTCTCATGAGTTACCGCTCCATTTCTCCCATTTCTGCTTCTAATTGCTTTGTATAATGGTTCTATATGTGATCGGGTTGATTGGTTAGGGTTCGAAAAGGATTTGGTAAGGTTTGAGACACTTAGTCTCTTTTAAGGAAGGTTAAGTTGGAAAAGTCAACCGGATGTTGACGTATGTGTTAGAGGGATCGGATGTGAGTTCCGATGATTTGGTTAGCTTCGGAAGGTAATTTGGGACTTAGAAGCGCGATCAGAATGAGTTTTGAAAGTCCGGGGTAGATTTAGGCTTGAATTGGCGAAAGTGGATTTTTGGCGATTTCCGGTTGGTAGGTGAGATTTTGATATAGGGGTCGGAATGGAATTCCGAGAGTTGTAGTAGTTCCGTTGTGTCATTTGGGATGTGTGTGCAAAATTTCAGGTCATTGGGACGTGGTTTGGTCGGGTTTTTGATCAAAAGCGGAATTCGGAAGATTTTTAGAAACATAGGCTTGAATCCGATGTGTTTTAGTTGATTTAATGTTGTTTGAGGTGTTTTGAAGATTGGAACAAGTTTGAATAAGGTTTTGGGATATGCTGGTGCCTTTGGTTGAGGTCCCGGGTGCCTCGGGTGAGTTTCGGGTGGTCTATCAGGACAATTTATGAAGTTGGAACCTGCAGAAAATTGCAGGTCAGTGCTGCAGAAAAGAGACCTTCGCGTTCACGAGAGGGTCCTTGGGTTCGCAAAGGATCAGTCGAGGAAGGTGGAAATTAAGCCTTCGCGTTCGCGATGAGGTTTCCGTGTTCGCGAAAGGCTGGCATCGCGTTCGCGGGTGTGTAGTCGCATTCGCATAGAAGGAAAAGAGAGGTTGAGCTTCAGTGGAATTAACTCATCGCATTCGCGATGGATGGAACGCATTTGCAAAGGTCCGTCTGGGTAAAGCATCGCATTCGCGAGGGTTTGGTCGCGATTGCGTAAGAGGAAAATTGGTTAAAGTTAGGTTGTGCTTCGCGAACGCGAGGCTTTGACCGTGTTCGCGAAGAAGGATTTTTAGGCCTGTGCAGAAGGTTTAAAAGGTCGTCTTCTCCGCGAATGTAGGGTTTATTTCCTCTATTGTTGGTCGTTTTTGGAGCTTTTTGAAAGAGATTGAGGAGGGATTCAAGGGGAAACATTTGGAGGTAAGAATTTTGGACTTAAAACTCGATTCTATTGTGAAATCTACCTAATAAATCATGGAATCTAAGCCTAAAATTGAGGAATTATGGCTTGAGATTGATAGATTTTAAATGAGGATTTGAGGGGTCATTTGGACTCTGATTTAAGTGTTCTTGATATGTATAGACTCGTGGGAGGATAAGGATTCCGGTGATATAATTTTTATCGAGTTTCGAGACGTGGGCCCGGGGGTTGGGTTTGGCCAATTTCAAGATTTTTGGTATTATTTGATTGTTTTCGCTTGAGCTTCGTTTCCTTAGCATATTTTGATGCCGTAATTCTGATTTTTGATAGATTCGACGTGAGTGGAGGCTGATTCAATGGAAAAAGGCATCGCGGAGTAGTATTTTCACCGGTTTGAGATAAGTAACTATTGTAAATCTGGAACTGAGGGTACAAACCCCGGTATTTGACTTATTTTGATAAATACGATGACGCACATGCTAGGTAACGAGCGTGTAGTGCACCGGTAGGGATTGTGACTTGGTTCATCCCGTAGAGACTATTAAGCCGCGTATTTTATTTGGAACCTTATGATATTCCGTATTTTAGCTATTTATAATATATTATGGGTTGTGTGCCATGTTTGGGGTCTTGTGCCGACCTGTTGAGACCCTTAGGGGAATTTTCACTGTTTTCCTCACTTTACTTATTGAAAGCATATCCTCATTCATGGTTTACTTGTTTAAATGTTTACAACCAATTTTATCACTCCACTTCTAATTGTGAGGATTGTTTGGGATGAGTTCCCTAATTTCTATTATTGTGCCCGAGAGGCGGCGAGGTTAATGACTGAGAGAGGTTGAGAACCTAATAGCGAGGATATTATATGTATATATTATGGATCGGGCTGCACGCCGTAGCGATACTTATATAGGATCGGGTTGCACGCCGCAGCGATATATAAAATGGATTAGGCTGCACGCTGTAGTGATATATGTCTATTGGATCAGGCTGCGCGCCGCAGCGATATGACTCTTGGGCTGTAGGAGCCCCTCCAGAGTCTGTACACCCCAAGTGAGCATAGTCAACTATAAATTACGGATCGAGCTGTACGCAGCAACGGTTACTATGATTTCTATTACTATGAGATATTAATGAGCCTGAGTGATGATAGTGAGTATTGAGTGACAAGTGTTGAGTAACGAGTGATTGAGAGGCTGCCCGAGAGGTTATATTCTGAGTGATACCTTGCCCGTGGAGCCCAGTTATGATATTTTTATTGATTTCACTCTTCTGTTAAAATAAGCCTCTGTTGGAAAAAAAATTGCTAAGTATATGATTTCAAGTGTTTTAACTAAAATTTGATGATTTTATGATGAAACTGGTTTTAAACTGTGAAGTTGACCTGTTATCCTGTTGTTTTCTGCAGTTATATGATTTTTAACTGCTCGTCACTGCATTCAGACCTTATTTACTTTAGTTACTTACTGAGTTGGCGTACTCATGTTACTCCATGCACCTTGTGTGCAGATCCAGGTGCCCGAGCGGCAGAGTGAGGGTCCTCAGCATTGTCAGAGTTTGCCGGAGACTGCAAGGTAGCTGCATAGCGTCCGCAGCCCTGCTTTCTTCCTCTTATCCTTGTTTTCCCTGCATTTTAGACTTGTTATATATTAGACGATCAGATTTGTATATTTAAAGGCTCTAGACTCGTGACACCAGATTGTGGGGCTGTGTAGTTTCCTGTTTATTTGACATCCGCATATTTTCTGTTGCTTTAAACGTTTATAATGAAATTTGGTTTTTAAA